AAAGACAAGGATATCCTCTTCAAAGATGGAAGAGCAAGATATTTAAATGTGTTTGATAGAGCCAACTAATTTACTTTCAGTCAGTGGAAATTTTATCCCAACTTTCTGTGTCATTGAAAAAAATCTTGGTTATTCTCATCCTGGGGTCATTTGAGGTCATGGGTTATTTGGTTTAATGGGATTTGCATGGTTAGATGGGGAAGGGATTATTTCATTATGGAACTTCTTTGTGGGTAGGTTAAAAGTAAAAGATAAAAGTTACACTTAATAAAATTCATAACTTGGCATGGTGCATTTTTATCCAATTGAAAGCTATATGTTAGTGGAAGCAAATGCTTTTTCAAATGAATTCATTAGTTCACAAATAGAAATAAAAAAATGGAGACTGTCTTGGTTGACTTGGGAGAAGCTTCAGGGTTTATTTAAAATTTACATTTATTGCTAAGAGGCAGAATTGTTAAAAAAGATTTGGAACTCGGGGAAGTATATACTTCAGAAATAATATCTTTACCGTTCAATGGGGTTTCAGACTAGAAGGGCAGAATGTTGAGAAGTCATTTCTAGATTCCATTTAATTCTGGACTTTTCTTTCCATCTTCTTTTGATTTCACTGAATGGATGTATGTGAAATGACCATTCCTTTCAAATTAGAGCTACCTCTATTGCTTTCCAGATTGGTTTGGCAATTTTCTAGACCTTATAGGAAAGATGTCCAGCTTCAGTTGGCTGCATGTATATGATATGCTTCCTGGGGCTGCTATTAAAAAAAAAATCATCACAAACTAGTAGTTGAAAACAGCACCAATTTATTTTGAGGCCAGCAGGTTGAAATCTATGTGCCTCAGAACCATGTTCTCTTCAGACTCTGGCCTCTATTTCTGGCCTCCTCTACTTTCTGGTGGTCTCAACATTCCTGACATGTGACATTTAAGTCACCCTCCATTTCCTCCTTTTCTGTTACTGTCTAATCTTCCTCTGTCTCCCTGATATAAGGACTCTTGTGATGGCAGTTAGGACCCACTTGGATGATGCAGGATAATGTCTCCATAGAAGATTATTATCACATCTGCAAGGGTTTTTTTTTTTTTTTTTTTTAGTCCTATAAGGTAACATTCACTGCAATTTACTGCAGTTTAGGGTGTGAGCATCTTTGGGGGAGTCATTTATACAGCCTATCATATCCATGTACCTCGAATATGCCTGCTTTCACGTACTGACTTCTATTCATTCTGAACCACAAAATTAAGCATTGTCCAGGGAGGGCAGCTGGGGAAGGGGGTCAATTGTTGACTGAAATTTGATGCAGATTGGCCTGGGAGGCTGTGTATTGGGGGGACAGGGCATGTTGACGCTATTAGTTGACCCAGCACATCTGGGGCAGGTGGTTTAGTAAATCTTAAGGACCTTTTTATCGATCTAGCAACACTTTAAAAAGGTTTTTATTAGTACATCAGTTATTCATAATAGTGGGGTTCATTATGTTATAATCATACATGCAGGAAATATCAGTGCTTCCTTTCCCTCCTGCCCTCCTTCTCCCTACTCCCTTATGCTATTCTACTGCTCCTCCTTCTATTTATTTATTTGTTTTTATTGGTGTTTTGCAGATACACATAAAGGTGGAATTTTCTGTGTTATATTCATATACGTGCATAGCATAATTTTGTCAGTTTCATTCCTCAGTTCCTCCCCTTTCCAGGGCTTTTCCCTTACCCTCTCTCCCCTTCCTGTACTTCTCTGATTCTTCCTCTTTTTTTGTGGGATCTGCCCCCCCTCTTTTTTTCCTTAGTTGACTCTAGCTTCTACAGATGAGAGGAAACACTCAACCCCTGACTTCTTGTGTCTGGCTTATTTCACTTAGCCTGATATTCTCCAGTCCCATCCATTTACCAGCAAATGCCATAATTTCATTCTTCTTAATGGCTGAGTAAATGTGGTATATATACATACACACTGGATTTTTATTCAGTCATTATATATATTTTTAAATCGCCTTAGAGGTCTAGTGATACAGCAGGTATAAAGATGCAGGGTCAAGCAGCACAAAAACCTGAATGGCTGTGTTATAGGAAAGCAGGGAGCTGAAACTCCAAACCTCAGTTCTTTTGTTTCAGTGATAGAAAAGTTAAAGTCAGACACCAAAAGCCATGCCAGAGAACTTCATTATAAGTGAAAGTAAAGAGAAAGTGAAATAAAAGAAAAGTAAAAGCAAAGCAAAGCTTAAACGGAGAGGACGAAAGAGAGAGAGAGAGAGAGAGACAGAGACAGAGACAGAGACAGAGAATGAATGGTCTGTCTCTAAGCAGAGAACAAAGGAGACAAAGCTGTCTCCAAATTTATTACTGTTTGATGCTTATCAAGAGACCTGGGGACCACTTCTGCACTCTTTGCCAATCAGGTGTGTTCAGCTTCTCCTTCACGTTGGATGGTGGAGTTTTTGACCTTAGTTGGTCCCCTGGAACTGTCATGGTGGCCATGACATGGGGAGCTTCATCAACAAGTCAATCCCATGTTAATGTGAGCATTGGGGTTCATAGCTGGTCAGAAGGTACCTTAGTGCACCTGCTCTACTAAAGGACTCTTCCTTCCCAGACAAATGGAGACACTTACAGCCATAATTCCTAACTTCACATCAACCTCAGTAGACCCTGTCAAGAGTAGTCCCATTAATCCTTTTTTCCTGACGTGTTTTATAAATAGCTCCCTTGCTTTTGTTTATTTTCTACAGATTAACTGCTGTCATTTGATTTCTTAGGATAGTTTGAAGAAGGATCCTAAAGTAGTTTAAAGAATGCTTTATGACCTTACCATGCATTTCACTGCTCATTGCTGGCTACAACCTAACAGCTGCCCCTCCTTGGTTGACTACAGTTGAACTGGTGGGAGACCATCTTCGTGGGTGTTGTGCTTTGTGTTTATGCTGCTTATATATCTGATCGCTCAACAGCCCACCTTGGCTCCTTTGTGCTCCTTCTACTAACTCTTTGAGTGCCTCATCGTCTTTTATAGAAGGAGCTCTATGTCATTTATTATGAAATAAGGCCACTTAGGACTCCCCTGCTCTCTGGTTCCCATTCTACCAGGCTCTCTGCTGCCCAGAGTTTTTCCTCTATAGTCAGTGCAATAACTAACCCCTTCAGTTGCATAAGAATCTAGAAACAATGAGACTATTTAAAAGCCCTTTGGCTCCCTTCCAGTAACTGCTCATGGTGTTTACACTGGAAAAGATGCCGGGCTATCTATCAATTCTTTGACTTTGTAAATCCACCTTGACTTCCTGGGTTCTACCAGAAGGCTGCTCCCTTCCTCTGTATGCTGAGGTGGTACCCTTGAAGTGGGTGAGGAGGTAATGAAATGCCCTGTGAGTGAATCTGTACAGGGCAAGCTAGAGGATTAAAGAAGAGGAACTTTTGGCAGGGCCTGGTGAAAGCATTTTGTAATTAGCTGTGGGTGGGGATTTTGGATAATTGCAAAAAGCATATAGTTATATAGAGTGGTCAGCCCGCTGTCCGTCCCCCTGCATACCTTTAAAAATAAGTATCTGTCCCTTTAACTTTATGTGAAGTCGGTTGAACTTCATTTGTGCCCATTTTTAAATCAGTGACCTGGATTAAACTGTTGTAAACTGTAATTGGCTGGGTCAGGCATTTTTTAATCTGTTGGTCTTAGTTGTACCACCTATATAAAACAAGCCAGAGACTGCCTCTAATGCCAAACTCAGGGAAGCATTTCAGAGATATCACAGAAAATAGCTTTCCCTTCCCCAGTTTCAAATTGGGGGAAAAAGGTGGGGATACTTTAATATCATTTTTCCAAAATACCTCTCACCTTGTTTTGAACCCAAAACTCTGGGGCGGGGAGCGGGAGGAGTATTCAAGTGTTCCCAACTTCACCGCAGATCTCCTTTAGAGATCAGCGTCTAAATCCATCACCCTCCAAATCCTAAATCCTTCCATCAGCCTCTGCACCTGCCAGAGTCCTTCACATAATAAGACCATTTTGATGAAATTGGTACCCAAGAGGGAGATGAATATTTTATTTAGCAAGAATAGCAGGGATGTCTGAAAAGCATCATGTACTGGGCACTTAGGTTGGTCCTGGGAGAACCAGAGCTAGACCAGTGAACAATGATGCACGTGGATAAAAGCTTTCTTTTTATCTCTGATATGAGCTTTTTATATCAGATGCCTCTTTTTGCTATTCCTTTGAAAATGAAACCAAAGAGAAAAATTTAAAGGGATGGTTGGCAAGAACGAGAACATCACAGAACACATAAAGGTTAGCAGAGGAGGGATGTTTTGCCATCGTGTTCTGTAGTCTGCCAAATCAACGAGGCCATCCTTGTTGATTTATTTTATTTTGGTGCTGCAAATTAAACCCAGCGCCTCACATGTGGAACATATGTTCAGCCACTGAGCTAAAACTCAGCCCTCACCATCTTGGTTTCTTAAAAAATAATATATATTAAAAAATATATATATATATATAGTACTAAAAATACATATATATTTTGGTACTAGAGATTGAATCCAAGGACACTTTACCACTGAGATATCCCTGTCCCTTGCATTTTTAAATTTTATTTTATTTTTTTCTTTCTTACCATGCTTAGGGCCTCCCTAAATGGCTGAGGCTGGCCTTGAACCAGTGATCCTCCTAGGATTACAGGCATGCACCACTGAGGAGCCTGGCATCATCTTGTTTTCTAATCTGTCTTTTATGCTAACTTTTAGCTGTCCTGTAATTGTTTATTGAGGGTCCATTTTTTTCTCTGAAGATCTGTTTTACAGCATGTAATGTATAAAATGATGATTTCCCTCCAGGGTTAGAGCCTGGAAGAAAAGTTGGAAAAGGGAGGAGAACACAAAAGAATGATAATTTATGGACTTATTGTGCATATTTAGAAAAAAAGCCATTTCAGATGCAAGGGGGTAAACATTGGATGGCCACTTGTGTTTTAACATCATACACTAATGAGACATTCTTTTTTTCATTTTTAGGTCTTCAATATCATCATGGCCAAACCTTATGAATTTAACTGGCAGAAGGAAGTCCCTTCCTTTTTGCAAGAAGGAGCAGTTTTTGACAGATATGAAGAGGTAAAGAAGTGCTATTAATCTTTTCACTCAAAACATTCTAATAATTATTTAAGCTTAATTATGGTATTGAGCAAGTATTCTTTGACAGAAGTAAGAATATCTTGGAGATTCATAAGTTGGAATAGTTAGAGGGAAGTTATGGGATATAATATTAATGATACTCTAATTTATTGATGCTCATCCTGTGCCTCATATAATCACGACAGTCTTGTAATTTATCATCGAGTGCTCACCAAGTGCAAGACTTACCTTCTAAGCACTTTATGTGTGTTATCTGCTTAATTTCTCAACAACAACCTTCCAAGGTTGATACTGTTATTCTGGTTTTATGGAGGGGTTTCATGGAGTAAGGGTTTTGCTTAAGCTTTTGGTGTCCTTTCCACATAACCTTTCCATTTGTTATCAATGTAGCAGTGCTGGGACTTTGTGCTAGCCATTTACTTTGTTCATTTCATTGCACAGACCTTTGTGACCAAGGCTTTGCGTGCCCCTGCTTCTGTCATTTTTTTATTTGTGACCTTACAAGGTGGCAGTGGCTCCAGGCTTCCTCCAGAGCTTGGGCTTTGACCAACAACAATCTGTTTAGCAGGGCAAGAGAGGTGAGGTGAAGCCTCCTTGCCTTGTAAATCTGTTGTCTTTGAATCTGAGAGGACCAGAGGAGGGGTATGTCATGGAATTTATGTTGCCTTTAAGGTAAAGTAAAAGATAAGACTTCCTAAAACCATTTAGAGTCAGAGTTCTTTCCTTTTAAAGTCAGTACAATGGCTGTGCTTGGTGGTGCACGCCTGTCATCTCAGCAGTTTGAGGGGTTAAAGCCAGGAGGATCATGAGTTTGAAGCCAGCCTGGGCAAATAAGAAAAACTCTGTCCCAAAATGAAAAAATAAAATTAAATTAAATAAAAACAACTGGGGATGTAATTCAGTAGTCGATAGAGCCTCCTGGGTTCGGTCTATAAATATAGTGTGGAAAAAAGAAAGAAAGGAAGGAAGGAAGGAAGAAAGGAAGGAAGGGAGGGAGGGAGGCAGGGAAAGAAGAAAATAAAAAATATCAGTGAGATGCTTATGTGGCCTAATTAGCCAGCTGTCCCTGAGGTTGATTGTCAGATGCAGAAAGTACCTTTCTGTGAGGGGTTCTAACATGACTGAGGACTGTTGACTTGCTTTTTCCAGCATGTATCATAGAAGATGTATATCTAGTTGCTTTTATTTTTTGTATTTTTTAATAGTGGACATTGAATCCAAGGACTCACATATGCTAAGCAAGCACTCTACCACTGAGGCTCATCCCCAGACCCTTTAATTTTTTATTTTGAGACAAAGTCTTGCTAAGTTGCCCAAGCCGGCCCCAAATTTACAATCCTCCCGCCTCAGCCTTGAAGCATCTGGGTTTACAAATGTGAGCCACCTCACCTGGCTGGATAGCTGCTTTTTAAGTAAACAAATTTGAGCATGCAAAAGGTGAGCAAGATGTGGTCACTATCCTTGTAGTGAAATAAAATATTAAAGAGACACCTATTCATGTACCTGAAACGTTGCCACCGACAGGAAATAAAAGCTAACTTCATTTTGCTATAAGAAGGAACAAAATAATATGCTTCTACCTAGTCATCTTGTTCCTCATCTGTTTAAAATGCTTCCATGACTTTTCCACTCTAGGATAAAGAAAACTCCTCGATAAACTCAAGGCCATGCATAATTTGCCTTCTATGTAATTAGTACAGAATTGTTTACCTCCAGTTTCATACATGTCCTCTCCATTAACCTTAGCAAACCACTTATAATTCCCTCATAAACTTTTCTATTACATACTTATGTATGCTGCTCTCTCTCCTCCTGAGATGTTCTTTTCTTTTCCTATTAGTTGTATTTGTAAACTTGTTACTGGAAAACTCCTTCTCATCCTTTAGAACCCAGATGAGAAATCTTCATTTTTGGATATATTCCTTGACCCATCCAGCAAGAGATCTCACATTTGTCCTACCACTATCCTACCCCAACACATATTTCACCTCCTTTGCATTTTATTTAATATTTCTGTCTCTCCTACTGTACTCCACCTTGCTTGAAGTCAAGAACAGTATTTTACTTATCTTTCAGTAATTTATCCGTAAGTAGCTGAATGTCTGTAACTGTAAAACATTGACAATGTCTAGTGTCAAAAAGGGTTTTGCACACAATTCATTCTAAGCTTGTCTGGTTCTTGTTTTTTGTTAGTTCATTCCCTTCCTTTCTTCCTTCTTTCCATCCTCCCTCTCTTCATGACTCACTCTCTCTTTTCTTTTCGGCTTCCGTTTTTGCTGGGAATGGAACCCAGGGCTTTGCACATGCTAAGCAAACATTCTACCACTGAACTGTACCCCTGACTATCCATTTTCTGATGACGCAAATGGGAGAGATGTCTTGATAATCCTTGACAATCCCATGTGTGGATCTGATCATCAACATATTCAAAATATCAGAGTATACTGCATGAAATATTTTTAAATAAAAATGATCACAATCAATCATTATATATAGTTCACACATAATTCAAAGTAAATTATTGCCATTGGCTACTTATATTCACTATATACAACTTGGCAAGGAAGGTCAAAAACTAATTGAGAAGCATATTCAAGTCTTTCTCCCAGGTAAACTGTATCTAGTTTGGGTATCACTGTCACCAAGATGACAGCGTATGGGAAAAAAAAAAAGTATATATTTTCCCACCCATTGCTAGGCAATAGCTGAGACCTTAAAACAAAATACAGGTTAATGAGGAAAAAAAGCATACAAACTTATTTAATGTTTTATATGACATGGGCGCCTTCAGAAATGAAGATTCAGAGGATCAGGGAAACCTGGGTATACTTTTGCTTAGTCTGGTTGGATAGACATACAGAAAAATGAGTGGACAAAGGGGATTTGATCAAATAATAAACTGGGAGGAACTTAGCAACTGCAGGATGTTTGTTCAGATTCTTCTCTGCGTCCCCAGGTTCTCAAAGAACATCCCCTTGCATGTAAGGAGGATCCCTCTGGGTCAGCTTGGTTTTTGTGGTTTGCTTCAGGGTAGAGGGTGGTGAGGGAAAAGCCAGAGTGACCTTCCTGCTTCTATTGTTGTTGTCTCAAATGCCAAAGTGCCATATTTTGGGGTAACATCTCCTGAACCCCATCAATGGCCATATTTCTTTAGTATGAGCTGGTGTGCGATGATCTGTTCCAGAATCTGTTCAGTGACCTAAAAGATTTGCAGTTTCCTAAGACAATTTTCCAGGCTTTTGAAATCTACAAGATAGTTTTGAAAATACTGCATAGCATCTAATAATTCAGAGATCAATTGGAAAACATTAAATAAAAACACTGGCTGAGTGTCTCTCCTCCTTTAATGTATCCAAACACAGAGAAAAATTAGTTTTCTTTGTAAATAAAGTGAAATATGATTTGATGAACTTTGGTTCAACATTATTTCTTGTGATTTTTTTTGGGGGGGGGTTATTATTTGGCCTTTTGGTTTGAAATGTTATAGAAAGAGATAACGTTCATAAAGTTAAACTTATTTTTTTCCGTACGCTGTCATCTTGGTGATAGTGATACCCAACCTAGACACAGCTGATATTTAGAATATGCTGGTTAGCTGTGCTTCCAAAGGCATTTGCTCTTCTTGCAGGTTCCTCTGAAAACAGGTAAAGTTAGGAGGAAGGAAACCTGGAACAAGTATTAGATGTCATGTAGCTAAGCTTTCAACTTTATGGAGTGCGGTTCACCAGGATTTCAAGTAAATAAGTTTTAATTTTATAGACGTTTCTCTTTCTATAACATTTCAAACCAAAAGGTCAAATAATATTTCAAGCTGGTTGACGGCCAGCTTTTGTTATTTCCCAGTCTTAAAACATGAAATTCATTGAGGCCAGAGCCTTTCAAATATTTAGTTGTAAAAACGTAACCACAAAAGATGTTTCTATAGTTTGTGCATAAATAGTACTAAGAGATGACAGGTGATGATAGCCTAGGGAAAGAACAGTAATTAGAGAAAACAAAACCCAAGCATCCTGAGTGTCAGAGCAAAGGGACTGTCTTCTGAAGGGGCATAAGTTCAAAGCAGCTATCGTGTGGGTACCATATGGTAATAACTAATGTTATCATTTCATGTTACCTATCAGATGAACATTTAATTATACCCCTCATATTTGCTTTAAGAATGCAAGGAATTATTTATGCTGTGGGTGAGCACTCACCAGTCAGGAAAAACAAGTGTTTAATAGCCACTGTTTACATATTTATTTGTTAATTAACATTATTATTTTTTTTAATTTTAGTGGTAATACGGGAGATTGAATTGCAGGGCACTCAACCACTGAGCTATATCCCTGGTTCTTTTTATCTTATGAGACAGATTCTTGCTAAGTTGCCTAGGCTGGCCTTAAACCTTGAATTCCTCCTGTCTGTAGTCACTGGATTACAGGGATGCCTCACTGTGCTGGATACTTTTCTTTCTTTTTTTTTTTTTTTTTACATGTATTGCATTCAAGCATTATTTTGTTCTTTCTGTATTACTGGGGAATTCTTTTGAGGCCGACTCTACATATACAACATTTCAGACATTATATATACAACAGTTTGTGTTGCATGCCACTACCAAACCTGTTTTTTCCCCTAATCCTGCTGGAATTACAAGGTTGTGTAAAGGCAAAACTATTTTTTTTTTTTTTTTTGGTGATACTAGTGATTGAATCCAGGGCCCTACACATGCTAGGCAACCACTCTGCTTTCCAAGTTACTTTCCTTGTAAGACTCTGTTTTACGCAGCTTTTTCATCAGTGTGACCAAAAGACCTGATAAGAACAATTTAAAGGGGGAAATTTTATTTTGACTCACAGCTTCAGAGGTTCAGTCCATGGTTGGTTCACCCCATAGCTCTGGGCCCAAGGTGAGGCAGAACATTATGGGGAATGGTGTGGATGGGGAAAGAAGGTCAGGAGATGAGAGCCAAGATGCAGAGAAAGAGAGCTCTGCTTACC